GCCATCACCCCAAAACTTCATCATAGAGAACAGACTGGAAAAGAAAGATGGAAACTAAAAACAATTGCAGGGCAGCCAGCATGGGTCAGGTGCAGGGATAGCAACAGCTGACACCTACGTTGGGAGGCCTTCCTTTCCCCCATGGCAGATTCCTACAGAGCCCGAGAGGCTCAGCTCATACCAATTAGCCAAGATCAACAAATGTCAAGTAGAGATGTCCACTCTACAATGTTCAACAAGAAACTAATCTGTGGTGGTCCTCACACAATGTGATCCCACTAATGTTAACATACTTTAAAGCAACAAAATTTTGAGGTGTATGTGTGTATGCATGTATGCAGAAGCTACTGTTATATAATAAATGTTCAGAAACAGGTCCTGAAAAACAAACTCCCAGCAAGCAAATCTGGGGAAAGTAACTGGAGGAGGAGTCCACTTTTTCTTTCATAAATCTCTACACACCGTCTCAATTTTTTTGGCAATGACCATTTGTTACCATTGCAACTTTAACACATAATTTCAGTGCCAGCACATGTTGTTATATGGGTTGGTCAGGGTTCCCAGACTGGGGAACCTCCATCCTCCTCCTCCACCACCACCACCACCACCACCACCCCGCCCCCCCGCACACCCACCTAACCACCAGGTGCCCAGAGGCAGTGGCTAGAGAACATTCTGGCCAGCAGGATCAGCACAGGCAAGGGCCATGTGGCCAGGGCGATCCTACACAGAGTTTGGCAGTATAAGGGTCTGGACTTCAATCGCCATGTGCGGGGAGCACCCCTCCCCATCACTCTCACAGATGAAAGCACAAGTAGTGGGAGCAAAAAGGAACTCAGGTCTGGACTGAGGAAATCCAGAGACTCCCCAGAGGAAGTGAGAAGTTTTGAGGGTGCAGGTTGGGTGTGAATCTAAAAAGGAAGCACCCAAGGGAAGCCCAGAAAATTGGCTCGTGTAGGATAACAGCGCCAAAAGGCTGATGGAACCGCGAAGGGTGGCGAGAGCTGACCTCAGCCCGGAACCACTTCCGGGCCAGGACCCTCACACACAAGACTCTAGGGCCAAGGGGCCCCTGAGCCGCCTCTCCCGGAGGACTAGCTGGGCTCCCAGGGAAACGGGTGGTGCTTCTCTGCACCACCTCCCCTGCTGTCCTCCACCGGCTGCGCACCCTACCTCAGGCCTTTCCGACACTCCTGGCCGGATTGCACCAGGACTCACCGCCCCAAGCAGCCACACGGACCAGTCCCACCGCGCTTGAACAATGACCAACCACCCTGGGGACAAGAACCGGGAGCTTCCGGGCCCTCTACTGACTGCTTCCGGCGCCTTGTATCCCCCCAACACTCCCCAACTCTACTCGACAACCCACGCAAGCAGGCCAAGAGGTGAGGGACACGGGTGTGTTGCTCCTGCAGGTCTATGGCAACGGCCCGCTGCCGGAGTTGAAAGGCGTAGGAGGCCGCCTCTGTCGGCTAGGTTCTCTAGGAAACGTAGTCCCCAACGCGTCAGAGATCCAACCTGTAGAGTTGCAGACAGTGCATTTCACAGGAGACACGGGGCTTCCATGTGGCACCACCAGGGCCCCCCGGAAATGTTCAGGGACCTGCTAAAGGTTGCTAGTTGAACGAATCCAGGGCTCTCCACTCATTTGTTGAGGGCCAGGCGCTGTCCCTGGCTCTGAACAAACGAGCCCTGGAGCCAGACGGGCACACGCATGCCTAGTCTCCGCTATGCAATGTCTGCAAGATCTCCAGTGGCTGCTCATGCAACTACATCTTCCACCCACTGGGCTTTGGCCTCAACGACTCCTGCCTGGTCACCTGCCTCCTTCAGCTGCTGCACCGCATTCAGCCTCCGTTGAGGATATTCCTTCCTCCCATTCCTTAGGCCCTTACAAACCACCCTACCACACTGGGCTGTGTCTGTCAAGCCCTTCTGTAACGTGGCATTTTGAAATGATGGGTTTCCTGATTGTCAACGAGGTCCCTGAAGATGAAGACTGAGACACCACTTCCCCAGAAAGCCTACCCTATCATGTCCATGTCCCCAGCTTGGTGGGGTCCCTCCTGAGTGACCTGTCATAGCCTTGTCACATAGAATGTAACAACCTCCGGACTGGCAGCTCCTGAAGTCAGTCTCACTCACCCTGGAATCCACACCTAGCACATTATAAGTGCTCATACATTGTGCAACCAATCCAGTCTGCCACCAGAATCCTAAGAAAAGCTTCCCTTCTCCTTCTCATCCCCCTTACCATTCTCCCCAGGAAAGCAAGCAAGGGACCTCATCTCACCTTTCTTCCAGTAAGGCTGATCCTTCAAGCCACTGGTCCCAACCCATGTGATGAGTTCACAGCAAGCCCAATAATGCAATGTTAGCTGAGACAGAGGTAGCAAGAATCCTTTCTCCCATCTTTATTTCTTGGCACGCGTGTGCGTGCGCATGTATGCAGACATATGCAGATACCTGTGTTGAAAGGAGTCCAGGAGCCCAGACATCCCTGTCCCACCACCTGTGGCTCATCCAGCTAGAGCACAAGAACACCTTCCCTTGCTGACTGACTGTGGTTTGCTGGCCCAAGCGGTGTTTCGGCAATCAGATGGACACCCCATGATGCCTGTGATTACAGTTTGGGGGGACAGGAAAACAAACTGGAATGAAGGGAGACAACAAGACTGTCAGGAGGTGGGGCAGTGTCCATCAGAATTAGAGCTTTGGGTCTAACATCTGAGAGGCTAGGCTATAACCAGTGCACTGGGAGCTAACTCTGAGGTGACCACTGAGCTCTTAGGAGTGGATGGTATTTTCCAAAGAGCACCAGAACCAGGAGACTGTCAGAATCACAAAAAGCTCAGGGGCGCCTGGGTGGCGCAGTCGGTTAAGCGTCCGACTTCAGCCAGGTCACGATCTCGCGGTCCGTGAGTTCGAGCCCCGCGTCGGGCTCTGGGCTGATGGCTTGGAGCCTGGAGCCTGTTTCCGATTCTGTGTCTCCCTCTCTCTCTGCCCCTCCCCTGTTCATGCTCTGTCTCTCTCTGTCCCAAAATAAATTAAAAAAAAAACGTTGAGAAAAAGAAAAAAAAAAATTTAAAAAAAAAAAAAAAAAAAGCTCAGAGGCTGGAGGGAAACCAAGACACCATGCCACAGAAATTCAGAGAAGAAAACATTTCCAAACCAAGCAAGTGATCCCTGGTATCAACAGTCACAGGGAGCCAAAGTGCTCTGGCACTGAGACAACAGAGGCCGTGGAAGCCAGAAGAGGTAAGGATGGCATGGAAAGTGAGAAAGGACATGCCGAGAGCAGGAAACCCTCATCTAAAGTTGGCTAGGAAGGGTAACAATGGTGCAGGGAGAGGTCAGGTTTGGAAAATGGAAGAGGCTGGTCTCAGTTCTGGCCCCCCACAAGGAAAACCACCGTGGCAGACTGTGCAGGGCAACTACCATACTACAGGGTGTATCTCTGTCATGGGTGAGCACTCCTGGGCCCTGCATCTCATCTGCCAATCAGAAGACACCACCCTTCTGTTCCCCAAGCCTAGAGTCGTGGGTCACTATACAAAGACCACAGAGCATGAGATATGAGAACCATGGGGAAGAAGCAGCAGTATCTGACCTCCAGAAACAAAACACCATCAGACAGAACTCATGTGAGGTCAAGTCCAAGCCCCAAATCATATAGGACAGCCAGAGGTCTGACCTTCAGGACCTGTGCCCTTAGCCACTTGCCCACCCTCTATGGGACCCACTTGGAGCAATGGCAGGCTTCCTGCCGACTCCCTTGCTGCCACCACCACAGGGCCTCCTGAGGATGCAGCTGCCCGAGACTGTCGCCTCCTTTCCCGGTGTAGCTCCCGGAGGCGAGCAAGGGCACAGTGGACACCCCGGGAGACCCGCAGGCTGCGCTCCCGGTTTGGATCATTCTCTATGAGGACCTGTAAACCAGCAGCAAAGTGAGACAGAGCCTGGGCGAGATGCTCAGGGCTCAGAGCACCCACACCAGCTTCCTCAGTGCCTGCACCCACCACAGCCTCTGTGAAATCTGGCTCTTGTTTTCTAGAGACCAGGCCATTCCCTGTCTCCCAGGGCAGCCCAGAACCACTCATGTCCCCATCCTTTGCATCCTGGGGGATGCTGTGGGGTGGGGGCTCCCCATGGGCCTGCAGCAGGCTGGCAACATCAGCCTCAGCTGCATCTCCAAGGCCCACATGCCGAGCTAGTGCCACAATGCTGCGGCGGAGCTGAGGCACAGTGTCAGGCTCAGGGGTGCCAGCAGGGACACACTCAGGCCAGAGCTTCCTCCAGGCGCTGTTCATGGTGGCAGGCTGCAGCTCTGCCCAGGCTTCAGCTATATTGTCCACAGCAGTCACGACAGTATAGCTGCGCCAGAACTCCTGCACAGAGGGTCGGTCTTCACCAGTCGTCTCCTGGACCAGCTGGCTGAGCGTGCGGCGCAGGTAATAGGCCTTGAATGTGGCAATGACACCCTGGTTCATGGGCTGGATCAGGGCCGATGTGTTCTTGGGCAGGAACTCAACCCTCACGTGGGCTGAGAGGCCACCCAGGTGAGCAGGGTGGCAGGGTGCACCATCCAGGAGCAATAGGGCACGGTGTGGGAGGCCATGGCTGGCACAGTAGCTCTCTACAGCAGGACAGAAGCAGCCAGTAAACCACTCCTGGAAGATGCTGGGTGTCAGCCAGTCATTGCGGTTGGAGCGCCAGACCACAGGAAGGCTAGCCTTGGAGCAGCCCTTGAGGGCACGTGGATTCTCCGAGGGGTACACTAGCAGAGGCTTCAGTTTAAAGTCACCAGCTGCGTTGCCACCAAGCAGCAGGGTCAAGTGGTCCTTAGAGGCCTTGAGGCCAGGCCCGGCTGCCCCCTCCAGTGCCAGCAACATGCGCTCTGGCAGCCGCTTCCAGAACAGGCCTGTCTCATCCACATTGAAAACTTGGTGTGGTGAGTAACAGCCCTCCTCCAGAATGGTGCGCAGCACTGGGGGATAGTGGGCAGCAGCCTGGGTGTCAGCCACAGCTGGCTCATCTGTCAAAAGCACATTGTTGCGAGCCTTGAATCGGGCAAACCAGCCATTACTGGCCCCAAAGGTCTCAGCCTGAGTGCCACTGCCCTGCTCATGCTGCAGCTGCACAAAGAGCCGTCGTGCCTTGTCCTGGATGAGCAGTGTGCTGATGGGCAGGTTCTGCCGCTTCTGCTCCTCAATCCATAGGCTCAGCAAGCGTTCCATATGGCCCATCACCACACCCCGGCAGCGGGTCAGCTGCGTGGCACTGACAGGTGTGGCTGCCTGGGAATTGGCCCGGATCTTGTCCTTGTTGACACGGATTGAGGCGACGGTAGAGGTGGCCAGCCCCAAGGCCCGGGCAATCTGAGTCAACTTCTCACCTTCCTCAAACCTCCGAAGCACCTCTAACTTCATATGCAGGGTGATGGACTTTCGGTCCCGCTTGGCACTGTGGCGGAGGCCAATCCCACCAAGGGGTGCCTTCCCCGACACCTGCAGGCGGGAAGTTGTCTTCATTCCGCCTCCCTGAGCCACACACCTTGATGAAGCCTCTCCGCACTGCCAGTTTCCACAGTAGCTACCAGTGTGCCCACAAGGGCAGCCTCTTGGCCTCTCCTGCCACACCTGCTTCTGCCTGTAAGACAAGGACACGTGGGCATTAATGTGTAAGCATATGGAAGTCCCAACCATCAGCTGGCCTTTCCGTGCTCCGACACAGAGCACCCAGCTCTGCTGACCACTGCCTCAGAGGCATGCCCAGTCCCTTCTTTCCGTACTGCTAAAAACACTGCACACTCACTTCCAAGTATCCTTTGCATCTAAAGGAGCATGTCACTTAGTTTTAGCTTATGAGATCAAGAGATGTCTGCTAGGAGACTCTGCTCTCTTCCCCTAGCAAACCTCTTGCAACAAGATAGTCTAGAAACCCTGGCCCACCTCCCAGACACTAATGAGCAAATGAGGTACCCACTTCCATGCTTCTCACCCTTTTCATGCTTCAAACATCAGTGTGGGTTGCTGAATAATGGTTCCTAAAGACATTCACGTCCTAATCCCTATGAATAAATTACCTTACCTGGAAAAAGGGACATTGTGGGTATAATTAAGTTAATAATCTTGAGATGGAAAGATTATCCTGGGTTATCCGAATGGGCCCTAAATGTAATCAGAGAAGGCAAAAGATTTCACTCAGAAAAACGCAATGCAACCACTGAAGCATAGAGGATACAGAAGGAACCAGGGGCGCCTGAGTGGCTCAGTCGGTTGAGCATCCAGCTTCAGCTCAGGTCATGATCTCACAGTTTGTGAGTTGGAGCCCCGTGTCAGGCTCTGTGCTGACAGCTCAGAGCCTGGAGCCTATTTCAGATTCTGTGTCTCCCTCTCTCTCTGCTCCTCCTCCGCTCATGCTCTCTCTCTCAAAAATAAACAAACATTAAACAAAAAAAAAAAAAAAAAAAAAAAAAAAAAAAAAAAAAAGGAACCAGCCCTGCTGATACCTTGATTTTAGCCCACTGAGAAACATTTCAGATTTCTGACCTCCAAGACTCTAATACATCTGTGTTGTTTTAAACCACTCATTTTTCAGTAATATGTTACAGCAATCATAGGAAACTAACACAGAAGAGAACCAACCTAATTTATGCCACAAACTATGGAGTACCTGAGAACAGAAGAGGATGGTGGTTCTCCACACGGCAGCCACAAAGATCCAATAAGAACTAAGATCCTATCTCCCCTCTGTTCAAGCCCTCCCAGCTCTGAGTAAAAGCCACAATCCTCACCAGATTCTTCAAGTGTCTTAGAGCCTCTTCTTTTATTTTGTTCACTCCTGCCCACATCCTTGGGGCAGACTAAGAGTGCTCCTGACTCAGGGCCTTTGCTCCTGTTTCCTTCAGCCCATGCAGGGCCTGGGCACTTCCCTTATCTGCATAGCTTGTTCCCTCTCCTACAGATCTCTGCTCAAATGTAACCTAATCAAAGAGGCCCTCTCCACCTACATTTTATTATATATCTGTCACACGCTGCCTGAAGGCAGGAGCTGTGTTGGCTGAGCTCTCCCTTGTGTCCTCAGACCCAAGAATAGTGAATCCAGTAGTCGCTAGCTGATGAAATTATTAAATTAAGTACAGCGGTGGAAGGCATGCTTTTCACCTTGTCCGTTTTGCATTTTGAATCATGTGAAAGTAGCACTGGATCAAAGAGTATACACACACACACACACACACATATATATATATATATATA